GTGTGCCGCTGGCTGCGCGCCCTGATAGGTATGGGACTTCCCCGGACCGGAATGAAATCTTATGAAATATGGATACGTGTGCCGCTCTTCCGCCGAGGCCCAGCCCCGCCCCGCCGTGCCCCGCCCCTCGTACGCCAGAGGAGGACAGACACTCACCCGCCCCCGGCCCGCCGGCCGCCTGGGGGGGAGATAAAGTCCATGAAATATCTAGAATTTCATTGTGCGGCTAGAATGACCATCGTGCGGGTTCAAATACCGAGCAGTTTCTTTTCCTCTCGGAGCGGGGCCGGGGCGGCCGGCGGCGCGACGGTGGCGTCTCCTTGGTCTTGGTCCCTCTACTTTTTTTTAGTGCGTCTTTTTTTAATCCCCCTCACTCTTCTCCGTTGGAGAGGAGGGGGGGGGGGCGGAACGTGATTCGAACAGAGCTGAGGGCGAGGCCGAGCTCGCTAGCAGTGATAATCGCACCCTGCTGGCAAACAAACGAAATTACAGCGTAGGCAGCGAGCGGTGTGTCCCTTCTCCGTCTTCCTCTCTCCTCCCTTACCTCTCTCCTCTCTTCCCCCTTGCGTCCCTGATCCCTGCACCCCCTGCCCCCCGCACCCCCCCCCGGGGGGTATCCAAAACGGCCTCAGACTTGGTTCTTTATGGGCGCTTCCGCTGGCGATCCGTCTGCCATGGCGACGCTTGCGGCGTGTGCCTGTTCTGCTGCTGCCCTCCGCCAAGGAACTATGGATTCTGTTGGACGGTAAGAGAAAGAAACCCTCTGCCTCTGTGATAACTGAGCGCGCCCCTAGATCGCCGGCCCGCTGCAGCCCCCTCGGCGCCGGGCTCGGAGTGTTGCCTAACCTCGCTCCTCCGCGGGCGCTAAGCACCCACACTCTACTGCAAAGTAAAAGTAAGATGCGCACCCTGACTGCTCGATCGATATGTTGTGTTGCCCACTGCCAAGCCAACCTCTTGCCCCCCAAAACGGATCGTCTGTTAACAAGAATTGCCGACGTTACGTTTTCAAGTGGATGCCCCCTTCCCTTAGAAGCGTCGTCATCATCGCGAAAAAGTTCAAACGATCGCCCCACATTACGGCTGACGATGCCTTGCAGCAGCAGCATGGTCGCCGCCGACAAGAAGTAGTCTCCGAGCAGTCTCGCAACAGCACCGCCCGCCCGTCATGCAAATGCGACCAATTACCGAAAATTTTCAACGGAATGACGACGACGACGACGTGGCTGGCGAGACTGCGGTGCAAGAAAATGGAGCAATAAGGCGACAACCGCGAATAAAACGGCGGGGTGAAACCAGGACTCGCTCCTCCCTCCAGGGGGTGCACGGCAGAGGCGGGAGAGGGCAGCGGAGGCGGGGGAGGGTGGGGAGAAATTGAAACGTCACTCGTTATACGGCAACGCCCGCAACGCCTTGAGGGAGCTGTATCACGCCCGCTCGGTGTCAGACCCCCAATGATACGAAGCAAACGGGTAACGGAAAAGCGCCATTATTACTCGACATAAAACCTCCCCGTGCAAATTGAAACCAGCATGCAGTAGGAAGGGCTGACCCCACAGAAAGTACACGAAACTGACGAAAGACAGACAGAGGTATTGTGTACCTCGATTCTGCACACAACTGATCTTCCGAAATATTCGTTTTGATTCCATACTTACTTGGGTTCACTTGCTGATGAAAGTTGATGCAGGCTTCAGGGCGAGAAAGGTTGAGGTAGGTGAAGGTTTTTGCATCGTAACCTCAAACGTCAAGCACAAGTGAGGAACCACAACAGTTTTTTCACACGCATCCACAACGTACGCGATCCTAAAAAAAAGTCGCACAACACTCCCGAACTTAATTTTCAAAATGTGTTTTCGCCCGAAGCGTGAGTGGACATGTGTTTGAATTCTAACGGGGGATCTCGCACACCGACCAACCGAGCGGCGACCGATCGCCGACATAAACGAAAGCATTGAAAAGAAACTTCTTCCCACACTTTGTACTTTTTGCTGTTAATAAAAGTTGGCATACGTACTGTGAGCTGTTTCCGGTCCTCGTAGGTTCTTTGTGTTCTTCTTGCTGACTCGCTAAAATGGTCTACTTATTTGACCATTTACATTCCATATTTACATGTCTATTTATTTGGACGGTTAGCTCATTTTATTTCAAATCCAAATAAACCCTAGAACATTCATGAAGAAAGGAGTTTTGGTTTTGTATCTTATGTTTTTCCTTCCCAGTGGTTGCAGCAGTTGGCAGCACATCTGTCATTCCACCAGACGAAGAACAAACTTTATATGGTTTGTTTTTGTTTGTTTGTGAACGATCAAGTGAACAAGTGTATTTCAACTCCGTATGTATTTTCAACCGGCTTAACTTGTTCTGTTCAAAACTTCGCTGAAAACAGTGAAATTTGACATCATTTTCGGCGCGTGTGGATTGGATTTCAGACTTTGACAGCCGGGAACATTGTTATCGCCACATCAGCCGCTGGAGTGCAGGTTATGGTACTGAGGCGAAACTAACCCTGTCCCGTACCTGCCTCAACCTGGAGATTTTCTGAAGCATCGATAGAAATTATTCCACCTCTGAGTTCATGTAAGTAAGAAAACTGAATAAATTATGAAAGTTTGGTTTGGTTTATGAGCTATACAGTATCATATATTTAAGCCCCGTTCCTGGCACAAAGTTAGTGTGCAGGTAATATTTGTTGGCTCTGCGCACTATTATAATTTTCAATATAATGGTTTGTAAATCATTTCTGTAAACATGTGTGCTTTTACGAAGCTAAGAAAGTTTGACCCTATAAGGAATGGTACTCTTACGGATATGACTGAATCAATACCTGCAGGAAGCTATCGCTACCTTTTCTACATTAATGCTGTTTAATGGTTCTATGGTATTTCTATACTAACTAAATTAAACATGTTAACGAAGGGAATGTAAAGTGTTGCCGCTCTAACACAACATATCGTGAAAGGAAGGACAGTTAGTTGCATGTACGTATGGTGTAGACGACTGCCAGAGACTGTGCGTCTCAAGGCAATATCTGATGTTACCAACAAAACTAATTGGCATGTGCCATTGGTTTACAATGGGTTGGTTCGTTCACTCGGGTAGAACATGTACTGCCCCCCGCTCCCGCTCCCCTCCCCCCGCTCGAGGAAATTGAATAGCTGAGGCTAGTATGGAGCAAGGAAAGCAAGCAGCGGTGTAGCATTGAAACGCACGTTAACAAAATAAAAAGAGTCCGAATGTGGACCGTCGGCGGCGCGGTGCCGTGCGGTGCTGGGACGGGTGGGCGCGCAGGCTGCCACTTAGCGGCCTGTCTTGTTTATGTGATGGGCCGTGTGCCGCTGGCTGCGCGCCCTGATAGGTATGGGACTTCCCCGGACCGGAATGAAATCTTATGAAATATGGATACGTGTGCCGCTCTTCCGCCGAGGCCCAGCCCCGCCCCGCCGTGCCCCGCCCCTCGTACGCCAGAGGAGGACAGACACTCACCCGCCCCCGGCCCGCCGGCCGCCTGGGGGGGAGATAAAGTCCATGAAATATCTAGAATTTCATTGTGCGGCTAGAATGACCATCGTGCGGGTTCAAATACCGAGCAGTTTCTTTTCCTCTCGGAGCGGGGCCGGGGCGGCCGGCGGCGCGACGGTGGCGTCTCCTTGGTCCCTCTACTTTTTTTTAGTGCGTCTTTTTTTTAATCCCCCTCACTCTTCTCCGTTGGAGAGGGGTGGGGGTGGGGGGCGGAACGTGATTCGAACAGAGCTGAGGGCGAGGCCGAGCTCGCTAGCAGTGATAATCGCACCCTGCTGGCAAACAAACGAAATTACAGCGTAGGCAGCGAGCGGTGTGTCCCTTCTCCGTCTTCCTCTCTCCTCCCTTACCTCTCTCCTCTCTTCCCCCTTGCGTCCCTGATCCCTGCACCCCCCCCCTACCCCTGCCCCCACCCTTTCGTTCCGAATAGCCACCACTACTGCGCAGAGAGGTGTGCTGTCTCCCTGGCAACTCGATCCAAGTGTCTATATGAGACGAGGAGCTCCGCCCCCCCCCCTCTTCCCTCTCCCGTCGCGCCCTGACTCTCCTGTTACCCCCACTCCGGCCCCTTCCCCTTTGGCCAAGCCATTTCCACTCCCGTTAGCATGTGGCCCGTGAGACGACAGGTACCCACCCCATCCCTACCCCTCCTTCGCCGAGGTACCCCCAACCCCATCCCTACCCCTGCTACACCGGGAGGCCGGGCCCCTCTCCAGCGCAGGTAGCTTGGCGATTCGGAAAGCCCAGGGTTAGCTCGGCCGCGCTGTCCCTGCCGTATCCAATGCCACCTGAGGGGTCTGGGTGGGGGTAAAGGGGGGGGGGGGCGTTTAATGGTCCCGAAGGCCGATGGAGGGTGGAGTTTGAGGGAGTAGGAGGACATCTTGGCCTGTCTCCACCCGTGTATCACCCCCACCCCTTCGCCCCCCCCTCCCCTCCACACTCCTGCTTCCACCTCTGCGCCCTCATTTCATCTCGAATCTGCCGCCCCTTCTTTCTCTCTTGCTCGCTCTCTTCTGTCTCTCAGTACTACTTTTGTCCCTCGCTCTCCGCCCGCACCCGTATCTCTCTCCTCTCTCGCACCTTCTCTCCTTTTGTTATCAACCGAATGAAGTCTCCATAAATAATGCATCAGTGTGCCAGTGTGGCCCTTCCCCTGATCCCGGTCTTAACATAACATTAGCAGTCGCGCACTCTCGAGCCCCCCCCCCCTCTACCCCTTTCCCTTCTCCCCAACCCAACACCCTCTCCCACCCTTCGCCCCCACTTATTTTTCTTTTCTGCAACACAAAACGCTCGCGGAGGGCCTTGGTGACGACTCCAGCCACCGAGTACCGTAATAGAGGTTACATTTCCCCAGCCTCCCTCCCCCCTCCCCCGCCCCGCAGAGCTTTCTTACCCCCTTCTCGACCCCCGACCCCCTTCCGCCTACCCCTTGAAAGTTGTGGCCAACCAACAATGCATAAAGCAAACGGCACAAAATCGATTCTGTCTCGCTTGCGCGTCGCCAATAGCGCGAATCTTTCTCTTTCTCCCTCTCTCTTTCTCTCCCTCCTCCTTTCTTTCCACCCCCTTCTTCCCTCTCGCGACCTTCTCGCCGTCTGCTCTCGCTTCCTCTTTCCGGAGCCGCGACTGGCGTCGCCCTGACCGTCCTCAGCCAGCCTCTCCAGCAAATGTTGGCGACCACCTGAGGTGGGCCTCTGAGACCGCCCCTTCATCCCTCCCTCCCGCCCCGCCACTCCTCGCCACACCCACCGCCACCCTCTGCCACAACCGTGTACTGTCTGAGCGAGCGGGGTGCGGCTCTTTGACTGTGCGAGCTGTGCGCGATGGTGAGTCCTGCTCGCCCGGCATCGTCCGTCTTCCTGCTTGCTCTTCTCCGCATTACTCTCCGGACGACGACGCCTGTCTCCTCTTTTCCCGCCCCGCTCTCCCTCGCTCCGCTCTCCCCCGCTCCGCTCTCCCCTTCTGGACGGCCGCCGCGTGACGCCCTTCTGGACGGCGAGGGGCGCGGCCGCGGCACGGGGGCCCCAGCTGCAGCTGCAGAGGGGAGGAGGGGGCAAAGCTGCCAGTGACTAGCTTTAAAATCACGTACTGAAGACGGGGGAGGGAGGGCGAGAACCAGCTCGGAGCCTTGTTACCAGGTCAGCAGCGGGCCGAGGGGCCGAGGAGAAGTAGGAAAGGGGGGTGGGGGGAGAATGCAGGTCACTGGAGACTTTTGCAGCTCTGGCCATTGGAAAAGGTTGTGGCTGTCTGCGCTGGGGGTTGGTGAAGTGGGGAGGGGAAGGAGGAGGGGGTCCGGGGAGAGAGGGACTGCCGCGCCCCTGGGCAGGGAGTCGGGGAGTGGGTGGTTGTTGTTCAAGTGCCATGTTTTTCCGGAAGTTGGGTTCGCTTCTCCTCCTCGTCCCACTCTCCTCGGTAAAAAGCACATGTTTTTGGCAGAGAGGTGTTCCCGAGCTGGACATGGATCAACGAGGGCAAAAAACCAGCGGGTGAAAAGGAAGTCTCGAAGGAAGTCCGGAGAGGCCGGGGGATTTGAAAGTGAAAGGGGCAGGAAGGGGGCTGTAACGAGATAATTTCTGGATCTCTGTAGCGATCGGCGCCTGCGACTTAGGCAACTGTTCAGCCACTCACGGAGACTGGCCAACTTGGTGACGTCAGATGGCCTAGCCACAACCCGGCCCTGAAGCGAAACAAGCGAAACCTTAGCTCTGCCGCCGTCCTACTGGTGGGTTTAGTCTCGTGTGATCCGTGCTGTTACGGTGAGGCCTCAGAGGTTCTCAGCCAATTAGAGTCCTCAAAACCTCTGAGGCCACCAGTCACAGTGAGGCAGCCTCACCGTGAGGGCACGGGCCACCATACTGCAGTCAGCTGCCGTGCCAACGACGCGCGCGTGAGGTTATGTTTACGAAGCGAGTAAGTTAACCTCAAACATCGGCATCGGAATGTTGGGTTGAACGCCGCCAAGGCCCCCCCCCCTCCCCGCCCTGGCTTTTGCCTTCGCTCTCTAGTTCGTCGTCGGCGTCGTCCGCCCCACGGCCGTCGGCGAGAACCTTCACCACCACCATGAGTGACAATGTCGAGAATGTGAGCGGAGAAGTGAGTGTGGGCCCGATGGTACTTGAATTGTTTATAGAAATATATATTATGCACTAATTTTGTGCTAGTTTTGTTGTTGCCTTTAAACTTGTCAACTGTTTTGTTGATTTGTTCGCAACATCAACCCTAGCTGACATTAGACAGTGTTTTATGCTGTGTTTCTGAGTTAAAGTTTAAAATTGCCTTGTCACATTTTCTGCGGAGGATCCGCCCTAGTGCTTTGGAGTTTGTGTTGGTGTGGGTTACGTTCTTTACAATATCTATTCTAATGCTTGCTTGCCACTCGCAAGAGAATAATAGCAACCTAAATAAACATCTATTTCCATTAATTTTTGGATAGGAGAGTGGGGTGTAGGTGTAATGCCAACAAAACCTAATTAACTTAATTGCTTTAGGAAGGATAATTTTGGTCTTCTAAATTAAAATTTCTCTTTGCATATGCGTCACACGGCGCCCTAGAATTAACCTCCTTCCCAACAACAAAATAAAACCATCGAACCGCAACATCTCGCGCGCGCTGCCGCCGTGGGTGGACCGGGGATAGCGGACTGGGATAAGGTCGGCGAGGTAGCTCCGGGCTCCGGGCGGCCGCACGTCCAACAAACGGCCAAAAAGAGGAAGTTTAGACGTCCGCACGTTTTAGGCACTTTCCCCTTTGCCTGCCTGCCCGGGCCCGCAGAGCAAAGCCCCCC